TGCAACGGCCGCCGCCGTCTCCACCTCCTTCTGCCCCAGAGGCCGCTTCGCAGGGAAAGTTACATAACGCGCCGGCAAAGCCTTCTGGGAAACGTAGTCCCGCTGGGGTCGGTTCTTAAAGGAGACCGCAGGCCGCCGGGGTGGGGACTGTGGGGAACTCGCTGCCTCTACCGCGCATCCAAAGGCAGGGAGTTCGGCGCGCTCCGAGGAGTTCGGGCACAAGGGTTGGGGGGCGGGGGTGCGATACGAACGGTCAGAGCTACCACGGATTCAAACGGTAGGGTGCGGACAGGCTTCCGGGCGTCCAGTTTCTGCTCCGACTTGCTGTGCAGCTTTCGGCAAAAGTCTTGCCCTCTCTGAGGCGCGGTTTCCCGCCCATCAAAGGTAGGCCAATGACCCGTGAGGAAGGCAGCCGCTCCTGGGGCGGGGCGGAGGGGCCCTGATTGGATGGTTTACGGGTGGAAGCCGGCAATTTGGTGGTGGCGGTGGGGTTGTCCACTTGGCACTTCGTCTCGCCCAGAGCTTTCAGTATCAAAACTCTGACCCGGGCCAGCAATAGCTGGAGAACAAGAGAGGACTGAAGGCCCCTAGGCCAGGCGTGTGCCTCAGTTGCCTCATCTGCTAAAGGGAGCAGTCGAGCGCCCTGCAACTCTGTTCTAGCTCTGCGGGCGCGCTCTGGTGTCCAAAGGGTTACGCCGTCAGTGTCTCCGCCCCCTAACCTCACTACAATTCCCAAAATACTCTGCGGAGCGGACAAACTGACGCACTTCCGCTGTGTGGTTGGGGGAGGCCTTCCCGGTTCCCGCTGCCCGTCCTACTCCCGGCCCCCCAGGCCGGTCAATTGATGGAATCTCTTTCCATGTTTTTGGAGCACGGAGTTGAGGGGATCCTCCCCCTTCCTAGTCTGGGGAAAGGGAAGGAGGCCGGAGATGGCAAGAGCTGAGGGGGGTAGTTTCTGGGGGAGAGCAGGCGCCAGACCACCTTTCTCCAGCCTTGGGTGCTTAGTACCTAATAGGCCCAAGCAGGTTCTGGGGACCCTCATGTTTTTTACTTCCCGCGTCGCGGTCAGTGCTAAGCGGAAGATGTGAGGGCTGGGGCGGGAAGACCGGTCTCCAAGTTCTAACCCACATCAGCCTCTTCCCTGCTAAGTCTTGGCCCATGTTGATATTTATCTTGTCAAGAGTTGCATTTATTAGTGTTTTTCAAACTAATCAGGGGCCGCTTACCTCCCCCCCACCCCACAGCAACCATAGCCCCTGATTTTGTTACCCACCTGTTACTAACTTTTTGGGGAGAAATTGACTCCTGTGAAAAAAACGTACCTACTTTTGCCTCATCCTAAGCTACATGATGTGCATAATCATGAGTTTTATGTACTAGCTACATGTTTAGAAAATAAGTTAAAACTACATGGAACTATTAAAAAGGCCATCCGTCTATCACTGAAAATGACCTTTGGGCCATTCTTTAGTAAACACTAGTGGGAGTGAAGAGTTCCGGCCACAGGCTGGCCCCTGACAAGTTTAAGGCATGTTCCTTAACTTATCAGCAAAAAAATGGAGACTCCTAGATTCTGCTTTCCACTGGGTACCTTCAGGTTAATATGCATGTAAATGCTAAGCATGGTGCCTGGCCCAGAAATGAAGCACCATAAATGGAAGTTTTTGTTTTTAATTATTTCAAATATTCAACCCCTCTTCAATGTTGGGCGATGCTGAGGACACAGCAGAGACTGAGATTGGCTCAGGCCTTGCCCTCAGGCTGGTGATGGAGGCAGACGTTCGACTTAAATTTACTCAAATGATTATTTAACTGCATTTTTAATAACTGCTGGCGAGGGTGGGGATGGGGGTATCAGGAAAGGCTTTCCTGAGGAGGTGATATTTGAGCCGAGACCTGAAAGATAAACAGAATCTAGTTGCAGGTAATAAGACTCTTAAACTACCAAGATGCCCACTTTACAGATGAGGAAAACGGAGACCCATGGTCACACAGCCGGATAGGGCAGCACCAGGGGCGGAGCCAGGTCTGAGTCCGGGGTGGTGGTCATCCATCTGGCTCCAGGTTCTACAGCAGGTGTGAGAGTAAGGGAGCCAGTTCCTGCCTTCGTGAACTATGGAGGAAACATGCCTTAAACAGACAAAGGCACTTCTTCATTTGGGGACATTATGGAAAAGAACCACAAGACACAGAAAAAAAATCTAAGAATCCTAGTCTGGGGAGGGAACCCAAGATGTTTTCCTGGAGATGACATTTCAGTGGTATCTGAAGGATGAGTAAGTAGGAATAAGATTTGAACACTGACATGATGGTTTTAAGAACAAAAATTGACTAGAAAACTACCAGCCTCCAACTACGAGGGGGTGTCACCTGCCCTTGGAGGGGTGGGGCAGGTGTAGGTGCTGGAATCCCAGGCCTGTCTCAGCCAGAACCCCGAGTAATTGTATTAAAAATAAGTTTATTGATATCTTGTCACCACTGAGGAGAAAGGAGGGGTTGAGCTCTGGGGGTCGGAGGCTGCGACAGGAGGCAGAGGGCCCCCGGATACCTCCCCGGCAAGAACGCGCCCCCTCTCCCCCGGGGTGCAGATGGCTGAACCCTCACAGTCATCCACATTCTGATTTGACTCGCAACCCCAACTCCCTCCAAAGTCTGGGCTGGGGAGGTAAGGAGTCCCCACAGGTCGATTCTCTTCAAGTCAAGACCAGGAGTGGTTAGGGAAGGGGCTGTGTGCACACCTGCAAGGTCCCCTCTGCAACCCACAGAGGGTGATAATAAATAACGTAAAATTGATGGCTTAGAGGTCAGGGTTAAGGGAGGCAGCCAGGCAGACAGCGCTGTGCTGGAGAGAGGGCTGGGGGGCCCATCCAGAAGGCCCCCCACGAATCAGGCACTAACTAGTAGAGGGCATGGGGTGCTCGTGCCCCTGCAGCAGGGAGCCAGGGTACGGCTGGCGTGGGGAAGGTGCGTGGCCAAGGTGCGTGGCCCCCCTCCACTGAGCGAAGCTGGGAGAGGAGGTGCAGGCGGACGAGTAGACAAGCTGGAACCCCATGGCAGACTTCACGGAGATTTCCACCGCCCCCGCCTCTTCCGTGTAGGAAAACCTTTCCTCCTCTTGTGTGGGGGGGAGTCATGGGGAGGAAGTGGGGCTGGGGATGGCCGGGGGGCCCCCTCCTCACTCCTAGGGGCGATGATCACCCCCCTGGCTGCCACCATAGCCCGATCCACCACAGCAGCCACCACAGACACGGGCTCTGGGGTGATCTCCACCTTGGGGGTGGGCGGGGGAAAAAAACGGCAGAAGGGGCAGCAAGGCGCTGAGGGCCTCGCTCAGTTTGGTCAGTCCCTGTCGCAGGGTGCCGGCCAGCTCCCGGATGGCGTTGGCAGTCTCCTGCTGCGCCCGCAGGAAGTCCAGGGAGGAGTCTGAGGCCGAGGGCATGGGCGGAGGCAGTGGAGGGGGTAGGGGACTGGGGGGCGAGGGTGCCACTTGGACCTGCTGGGGTGGTGGAGGTGGAGGGGCTGGGGGTGGTGGAGACAAGGCCAGGCGGGGCAGCTGGACGGTCTGCAGGGCCGGCGGGGGCGAAGACTCACGCTCCTTGGGCGGTGGGCAGCCCCCTTCCTGGGGGTTGCAGGAGGGCCGGGCCCAGGGCTCTGGGCTGCTGGAGCCCCCCTTGCTGTGGGCTGGTGTATCTGTGGACAGAGAGATGTAAGTAAGGTGAGTGGGACCCCGCAATGCTGTCTCGATTTCCCTCGTCCACCTCCCGCCCGCCTCCGCCCCAGCGCCATCCTTTTAAAACTTAAGTCAGACCATGCCTTGCAACAGAAGCCTTCATACCCGGAGAAGAGAATCAATATATTGAATGATAACCTGGTAGCCCAGGCCATCCTTAGTGAAAACAGACAGGGTCCTGGGGGTCCCCAGCTGAGCCAGGCAAAGCCAATGTTCTAGAAGACTCTGAACCGTCTGGATACTCAGCTGCCCTTACACCTCTCAGGCCTCACTGCTGGACCCTGGGGAGATCTGTGGGGCCTGGGAGAGAGGTGCTGTGGCTGGAGCAGTACCAGGGACTTCTCGAGGCTGGGAGTAGGGTCTGTCCCCTACCGCGATGGCAGGATTTCAGTCTTAGCTCTGGTCTGTGCCAGTTCAACCCCAAGCCTGCTGGGCATCCTGTCTCCTCTCACCTGGGATCTATCTCATTCATGCTTGTGAACTTGAACACAGTCCCCAGGCAGCAGCTCCCAGATTTCTAGGCCCAGCCTGAATCCCTCCCTCCAGCTAGCTGTGTACTTAGCAGAGCCCCTTGATCATCTAATGACACCTCAAACTCACTTGCCCAGAGCTGAGCTCCTGGTGCTCCCCAACCTTCTCCTTCCTCAGCCGCCCCCATCTTGGCTGATGTCGGCTCCATCCTTCCAGCGGCTCAGGCCAAAAACTTTCTTTTTCTCTCCCAAGACCCCATCCATGTACAAATACCATCGGCTCTGTCTCCAAAGTAATTCAACATCCAACCTCTCCGTCCACCTCCACGGCCCCACAGTGGTCCAACGAGCATCTCCTACCTGGACGATGGCAGTTGCCTCCCCACTGGGCTCCCTGCTTCCACCCCTGCCCCTTACAATTTGTTTTTCTACCAGGGCCTCAAGGGTCCAAACTAAAATACACGTCAGTTATGCTACAGGAAAGAAGCCGGTCAACATTTATATGAAATGTCCAAAACAGGCAAATCTACAGAGATAGAAAGTAGGTAGTGGTTGGTTGCCCAGGGCTGGGCGGAAATTGGGGGGATGAGGGCAGAGCGATGCCTAAGACATAAGGGGCTTCTTCTTGGAGTGATGAAAATGATCTGAAATTGACGGTAACAACGATTACACAACTCTGAATATGCTAAAAGCCACCGAACTGTAGACTTGAAATGGGCAGGTTGAACGGTATGGGAATTCTAGCTCAATAAAGAGGTTTAAAAATGCAAGTCAGATGTCGCCTTTCTCCGCCTAGAGCCTGCCTGTGGCTCTTATCGCATCCGAAAAAAATGCAAAGTCCTCAAGGACCCCAAGGTTCTGCACCATCTGCCTCCCCGACTTCATCTGGGCAATCAAGACTGCCTCCCCGACTTTATCTCCCTCCCCTCTCACTTTATCTTGCTCACCTGGCTCCACCACCTTGGCCTTCTTGTTGGCCCTCAAACACATCAGCCCGCGCCTGCCTCAGGGCCTTTGCACTGGCCATCCCCTTGGCCTGGAAAGGTCTTTCCCCAGACACTTGCCTGGCTCCCTCCCTCACCAACCCAGGTCTCTGCTCGAAGGTGGCTTCCTCGATCCCCCTCCATCTAAGTAGCTTCTAACCTTGTCCTTTTCTCTCCTAACCCTGCACGATTTCTTTTTATCGCACTTATCTCCCCGTGGCATAGGATCGCTCTCTGTGCGTCGCCAGCTCCATCAGGCAGGGCTTTGTTTTACTCGCCACTGTTAACCGAGCACTTACAACAACATCCAGCACAATTTTTTTTTTCTTTAATGATAAGAGAACTGTGGCTTCCAGGGAGTCAGCGCTGATTGGGCCGCCAGGCCGCAGGACCTTGCGGCAACACTCCCCCAGCTCCCCAGCACCTACAGGGGACAGTCCGGCCTCTCTCTGCCCACTTTTATCCTTCATCCTCGCCTCGGGGCCAGTGTACACAGGCAGCTCCCTCCACCGGGATCGGCCCCCACCCCCAGCATCGCCCCTGTCCGATACTGAACATCTGAGCTGTTCACTGTTGTTTCCTCAGGGAAGCCTGTCTCTCTGCTCCTAGGTCACGTCAGAGCTCCTTGCTCTTCTTTCGAAATCAGCCGGCCACCTCCAGTCCTGAATGCTGGGGGTCCAGACTCCCTTGCGCTGGGAGAGAGACAATGACCACAGCTAACCAGCTGTTGGACACTTTCCAGGCCAGGCCCTGGGCAAAGCGGCTAAGCTCTCCTACACTTTTTTCAGAATCCTCTCAGCCATTCTCTGGGGTGGGTGCTATCATTATCACCCCATCCTACAGGGAAGGGGGCTTGAGGCCCAGGGAGGCATCACAGAGCTGGCGAATGGTAGAAGGATTTTAACGTAGGCAGGCTCCAGAGCCCGCGCTTTTAACCAGCCTCGGGCAGGGTCTGTGGGCCTCACTCAGGGTGGCGAGTTTCACTCACAAGGGGTACGAGAATTGCAGCCACTTGGAAATACGGCTTTTTGTCTACCAAGTAAAAGGAGCTACAGAAAGTGGCCCAGCCTTCACACGTGCAGGGCTCACAGGAGTGAAAGTCATATTTATTTACAATCCTTGGGCCTCAGTTTCCCCAGCTGTAAATGGGTATGTGTGAGAGTACGGGACTAAGGGACACAATAACAGAACATCTCCTGGGAGCCACTACAGGGAGTCACTGGATCACCAGGGCACAGGGCTTAGGCCAGTGTCCGGCACACAGAAAATTCTCAATGTTGTTTTCCTATTGTTCTTTCAAACATTAGGTCAGAAAGAAATGGTCCTTAGCTCTCCCTCCACTGTCAAGGAAGACACCTCAGGCTCCCCAGGCTCTGTTTTCCAGTCCCTCAATCAGATCGGTTTCTCTTTTGTTTTACACAGGTGGGTAATCTCTACGTGAGATTCTAATCAAGGTGGCTTCAAGCACATGCGTGCCTCAGGGCCTTTGCATGTGATGCTTCCGCTAGCTGGAGGGCTTATTCCCAGATATCCACTCAGCTCAATCTCTCCATTCAGGTCTCTGCTCAGATTTTACCTCCTCGCTGAAGCCCTGCCTTACTACGCTGTCTAGGCAGCCCTCCTTCCATTGCTCGCTATCCTCTTAACGTTTTTCTTAGTTCTTATCCCCTCCTGTGTAAGCTGTGTTTCGAGTTACTTGTTTGTAGTCTGTCTCCCATAACCACAATGTCAGCTCCATAAGGAAAGGGAAATTGTCTTTTTCTACACAGTATTCCCAGCGTCTACAACAGTGCCTGCCTCAGAACAGGTGCTCGATGAATATCTGTTGGCTGAATGAAGGAATAAAGAGGTTATACAGCTCTTGAAAAATAAGTTCGCCACGACTACTCCGGTTCAATGGAGCCGTTTCACAGAAACACTGAGGTTTGACTCACACTGAGAACAAGGGTCCCAGGTGATTGTGTCTCTCTCCTGCTTAAGATATTTTCATGACTCCCAAATGCCCTCAAGATAAAGTCCAAAGTCTGACCTTCACTTACAAGCTGAATGTGTGATCTAATTCTGGCATGCTCATTAACTCTCAGTTAATATCAATTGTTGTTATTGCCGGACAATCCAGCCCAGTAGTTAAGTGGACTGTGAGTTGGACACAACCTGTATTCCAGTTTCAAGTCTACGACTTACTTGCTGTGTGGCCTTGGGCGGGTGAATAAACCTCTCTTACTCACATGATCCTGAACTACCTTGTTTGATCAAGGGACGTCCACGTCCCTCCCTTTCTCAAAACCCTTCAGTGGCTCCCTGCAGCACTTAGGATAACATCCAAAGTCATCTCACTCAGCCTAAAGGCCCTGCAAGGAATGGCCTTTGCCGACCTCTCAAACCTCATCTCAAAACATTTCCTTTCTTCAGTCTGTCAACTCCCCCCTCACCGCCCCCAACTGAGAAACTTCAGATTCCTAAACTGGCCAAGCTTTCTTGCCTTTAAGCCACTGCGCATGCTGTTCTGTCTACCAGGAACACTTTCTCAACTCTCTTCAGTGTATCTCAGCCCTAATGTTTCCTCCTCCAGGAAGCCCCCCTTGACCTCCCAGCCTGGATCAGGTGCCCCGCTGGACTCCTATAGCCCAGCCCTGCCCACTCTGAGTCATCATTGTCTATGCATGGGTCTGTTTCCCCGCACTGGACTGTAAGCCCCAGGAGAGCAGGGCTGAAGATGTCTCAGTCACCACTGTGTCCCCAACATTGCCCAGCACAAGTAAGATGCCTGGGGAACAGCTGTAAAAGAAATAATCCAGAGTCAAGACTAAGTGGGAAGTCTCCTACCCAGCTCTTCATACCTCCTCTACTTGGGGCATGACCTTGGGAAAGTTACCAAACCTCCGAATCTCTGATTTATTAAATGGTACAATAGTTTGTACCTCACAGTGTTGGCAAGTATACCAAAAGCCAACAATGAATGTTCAGTTCAGGAGGCCACGTACAAAGCAATTTCTGCCTATTAGTTTATTTAATCTTCACAGTAACCCTTTGAGGTGGGGACTACTTTTTATCCCCATTTAACAGATACAGAAACTGACCTGCAGTAACTCACCCAAAATTGATACAGCCGACTGGCAAAGTTGTGATTGGAGCCCCATCTGCCCCCAGAGTCACGACCCAACATGACGTTCAATGAAACGCTGAGTGAAGTGTGGACTCTGGGGCCAGGCCGTGTACATCCAGGTTCCTTTCCTGACTCTGACGGTCACTAGCCCTGGGGCCCGACACAAGTCATTTCACTTTTCTGAGCCTCAGTTTCCCCAAGTTTAAAATGGGGATAAAAACAGTACCCATGTCACAGTGTTGTGGTGAGACTCTGATGAGCCACATGAAGGACTTGGACCCATGCCTGGCACACAGCACACTCTGTCACTCTTGCTAAGGTGATGGTGAAGGAACTCACCTGCCCGTCGGTCTTCCCTGCGGTCCTCGGACAACACACAGCGTTGGGCACAGGCGCTTGGGGCAGGCGGCTGTGAGGCGGTGGCTGCGGGGGGCTGCTCAGCCCCTGCACCTGCTCCTGGCCCCGCCACGCCCGGCCCGAGGATGGCAAAAATGGTCTCCTCCTCGGCGGATAAGGCGTCCTCGGCGGCAGGTCCGGCGCCCTGCGTGGAGTGCGGCACCCGGGCCAGCTTCTCCTTGGTGCGGCGCTTGAAGTCGTTCCAGCGTTTCTGCACCTCCTGGCCAGTGCGCTTCCAGCTGGTGATGCCGTTGATCTTGGCGGCGATGCCGTCCCACACACGCCGCCGCTCGGCCACGCTCACCCGACGGCTCTGCGCGCCATAGAGCTGCGGGTAGTGGGCGCGCACCTCCCGGATCAGGATCTGGTTCTCTTCGAAGGAGAAGCGCGGCTTGCGCAGCCGGGTGGTCTCTTCCGCTTCGCCCGCCGCCGCCGAGGCCA